TAGGTTAGTTTTTAGTGTGGGTGCGCATCTGTGTGTGTGTGCGTGTGCGAGTACATCTGTGTGTGTGTGCGTGCGAGTGCATCTGTGTGTGTGCGTGCGAGTGCATCTGCGTGTGTGTGTGCGTGCGAGTGCATCTGCGTGTCTGTGTGCGTGTCGGTGAGCGGTAGTGCGGCGGTTAGCGCTACGAACGCGGTGACCCGCGTTCAGTTCCCGCTCGCGGCCAACACCAGTGACGATTATCTGAACCGGTCCCGGGCCTCCCCTAGTTCGACGCGGCCTCAATTGAGTACCCAGTGCGGTGCGTAAACATCGCCACTGGGGAGACAAAGGCGGCCGGGCGTGGTGCTGGCCACCCACCCCCTCGTGTCTCTGTGCCGGCTTTCATAGGTGCCGCTCACTAATAGCTCTTGTCCCAAAAGTCTGTTAAAGCTACACGGGGGATCTTTGTCTTTGTGTCCGGGTGTGTGTGTGTGCGTGCAGATTGAGCTGATTGACCGAGTGGATGACATTTACCGCATCACCACGTGGGACAACAACAACTACCGTGGCTACGGACTACAGATCGATCAGGTGGGCTATCCACCACCACAACAACCACAACAACCACCCACAACCACCCACAACAACCACCCACAACAACAACTACCAGGGCTACGTACTACAGGTCGATCAGGTGGGCTATCCACCACCACAACAACCACAACAACCACCCACAACCACCCACAACCACCCACAACAACCACCCACAACAACAACTACCAGGGCTACGGACTACAGATCGATCAGGTGGGCTATCCACCACCACCACCACCACAACAACCACAACAACCACAACAACCACCCACAACCACCCACAACAACCACCCACAACAACAACTACCAGGGCTACGGACTACAGATCGATCAGGTGGGCTATCCACCACCACCACCACCACAACAACCACAACAACCACCCACAACCACCCACAACAACCACCCACAACAACAACTACCGGGGCTACGGACTACAGATCGATCAGGTGAGCTATCCACCACAACAACCACGACCACAACAACTACCACAAGAACAACTACCACATTACCACCCACATCAACCACAACAGTATACATGCCCTTGTCTCCCCGCGTCTCTGTGTCTTTCCCCTCGCGTGCCTTCCCGTGTCTCCACGTGCCTGGCCGTGTCTCCCCACGTCTCCCCGTGTCTCCCCACGTCTCCCCGTGTCTCCTCACGTCTCCCCGTGTCTCCCCACGTCTCCCCGTGTCTCCCCACGTCTCCCCGTGTCTCCCCACGTCTCCCCGTGTCTCCCCACGTCTCCCCGTGTCTCCACACTTCTCCCCGTGTCTCCCCACGTCTCCCCGTGTCTCCCCACGTCTCCGCGTGTCTCCCCACGTCTCCCCGTGTCTCCACACGTCTCCCCGTGTCTCCCCACGTCTCCCCGTGTCTCCCCACGTCTCCCCGTGTCTCCACACTTCTCCCCGTGTCTCCCCACGTCTCCCCGTGTCTCCCCACGTCTCCCCGTGTCTCCCCACGTCTCCCCGTGTCTCCCCACGTCTCCCCGTGTCTCCCCACGTCTCCCCGTGTCTCCACACTTCTCCCCGTGTCTCCCCACGTCTCCCCGTGTCTCCCCACGTCTCCGCGTGTCTCCCCACGTCTCCCCGTGTCTCCACACTTCTCCCCGTGTCTCCCCACGTCTCCCCGTGTCTCCCCACGTCTCCCCGTGTCTCCACACTTCTCCCCGTGTCTCCCCACGTCTCCCCGTGTCTCCCCACGTCTCCCCGTGTCTCCCCACGTCTCCGCGTGTCTCCCCACGTCTCCCCGTGTCTCCACACTTCTCCCCGTGTCTCCCCACGTCTCCCCGTGTCTCCACACTTCTCCCCGTGTCTCCCCACGTCTCCCCGTGCCTCCCCACGTCTCCCCGTGTCTCCCCACGTCTCCCCGTGTCTCCCCACGTCTCCCCGTGTCTCCCCACGTCTCCCCGTGTCTCTCCACACTTCTCCCCGTGTCTCCCCACGTCTCCGCGCGTCCCCCGTGTCTCTCCACATCTCGCCACTTCTCCCTTTGTCCCTGCACGAGTCCCCACATCTCTGCGTGCCTCTCCTTACGCGTCTCCGCGTGTCTCCCCGCGTGTCTCCCCGCGTCGTCCCCGCGTGGTGCGTAGATAATCGTCCACCAGAAGCCGACGGCCGTGAGCTCCAGCAAGCGCCACTACAACATGAACGGCACGAGTCCGCCGGGCGCCGCCGCGTGGAACGTCAAGGCCCTGCTCGAGGTACTGCCGACGGGGCTCACCGACTCGGGGGGGGCCTGGTGGTAGGGGGTGGCGGGGTGGGGGGCACATGGGGGCAGGTGGCGGGAGACATGGCACCAACAGGGAAGACGTGCGTGTCGGTGGGGAGCGGTAGCGCAGCGGTTAGCGCTACGCTGCGCTACAAAGCTGGCGGGCCCGGGTTCGATTCCCGCTCACGGCCAACAACGGTGACGATTATCTGAACCGGTCCCTGAGCCTCCCCTAGGTCGACTCGGCCTCAAATGAGTACCTGGCGCGGTGTGTAGTAAACATCGCCAATGCGGGAGACAAAGGCGGTCGGGCGTGGTGCTGCTGGCCACCCCGACTCCTCGTGTGCTGTGCTGCCCTTCACAGGTGCTGCACCACCAACAGCACCTGCCCCGTGTGTGTACGTGCACGCGCGTGTGTGCGCGTATGTGTACGTGCCTGTGTGTGTGCGCGTATGTGTACGTGCCTGTGCGTGCGTGTGTGTGCCTGTGCGTGCGCTTTGATTTGAGAGCAGCAATTCAGCATCGACGTATCGGAGAGCGCGCGCAACGTGTGCCTGGCGCACCTCTTCACGTACCAGGACTTCAGCCAGGGCACGCTGGGCCTCGCCTACGTGGGCTCGCCCAAGCCCAACGCCGTGGGAGGCATCTGCACGCCCAGTGAGTGCGCACGCACGGGGAGGGGGGTGGGCGCACACGCACACAAAGATAAAGACAAAGATCCCCCATATAGCCTTAACAGACTGTAGGGGCAAGTGCTGTTAGCGAGCACCTATGAAGGCCGGAACGGTACACGAGGGGGTGGGTGGCCAGCACCACGCCCGACCGCCTTTGTCTCCCTAGTGGCAATGTTTACACACCGCACCAGGTGTGTATGTGAGCAGTAGTGCAGCGGTTAGCGCTACGCTGCGCTACGAACCCCGCGACCCGGGTTCGATTCCCGTTCACGGCCAAGACCGGTGACGATTATCTGAACCGGTAATGGGCCTCCCCTAGGTCGACACCGCCTCAAATGAGCACCTGGTGCGGTGTGTAGTAAACATCGCCACTGGGGAGACAAAGGCGGCCGGGCGCGGTTCTGGCCACCCACCCCCTCGTGTGCCGTGCCGGCCTTCATAGGTGCTGCTCGCTCACGGCAGTTGCCCCAACAGCATGCGTGTGTTGTGACGATGTGCGTGGTGTTGTGACGTGTATGTTGCGTGCGTTTGTTTGTGTAGGCTACTTTAACGAACAAGCCAAAAAATACATCTTCCTGAACACCGGGCTCACCAGCACCATGAACTATGGGAAGACCATCCTCACCAAGGTGTGCACACACACGTGTGCGGGCGTGCGTGTGTGCGTGCGTGTGTGTGTGTGAGGATGGCACAATGGGTAGCGCCACTGCGCTACGAAACCGGCGACCAGAGCTCTATTTCCCGCTCACGACAAATTCGGAGTGGCGAATATTTGAACCGGTCCTGGGCCTCCCCTAGGTCGAATCAGCCTCAAATGAGCAGCTGGTGTGGTCTGGAAAGACATCGCCACTGAGGCGATAAAGGCGGTCGGGCGTGGTGCCTGGCCACCCCACCCCCTCGTGTGCCGTTCCGACCTTCAGTCTGTTAAGGCTGTACGGGGGATCTATGTCTGTGATTTTGTGTGGGGGTGCCTCGTGGCTCAGCGGTTAGTGCGCTGCGCGGTGAACCCGGTGACCCGATATTCGATTCCCGCTCACGGCCAGCACCCAATGACCAATACCTGCACCGATCCTGAGCCCTCCGCTAGGCCGACTCATCCTTAAATGAGTAAACTGGGTGGATTGTAAAACATCGCCACTCGGGAGACAAAGGCAGCTGGGCTTGGGTGCTGGCTACCCCCCAGCTCCCCTCGTGTGCCGTGCCGGCCTTCATAGGAGCTACTCGTTAACAGCACTTGCCCCAACAGGCTTACGTATAAATTCATAATAAAAGTTTTTGGGTTCGATCGCGTAAGTATAAATGTGTCTTTTGATTTAAAGCCTTCGGCCTTCATAGGAGCTACTCGTTAACAGCACTTGCCCCAACAGGCTTATGTATGAATTCATAATAAAAGTTTTTGGGTTCGATCGCGTAAGTATAAATGTGTCTTTTGATTTAAAGCCTTCGTGACTGCAGGGATTCGTATTCTTGGTTCTTTCGGTAAAGTCACGTAGAAGGGAAACAATAAAATAATATTGTTTTCTATTCTTATTATTTTATTGTTTCCCTTCTACGTGACTTTACCGAAAGAACCAAGAATAGAAATGTGTCGTAACCCTCCACCACCCGACACAGGCAGTAAGGTTTGTCACGTAAACAACGCGCCAATTAGTTTACTACTTCAGCCCACCGGTGTGTTGGAGAGTAAATCGACAACATTTACAATTGTAAAAGCCGAAGTCTTACGTAAGCTACGCTATTGAAAAGTGGCCACATTGATCAAAGGATTAATACCCAACGACAGAGACCCCCCCCCCCCCCCGTATAGCCTCAACAAACTTTTGGGGCAAATGCTGTCGGCGAGCACCTACGTAAGCTGGCAAGATATACGAAGGGGTGTGGTGTGGCCAGCATCATGCCCGGCCACCTTTGCCTCCCCAGCACACTGCCCGCTGTGTGCCTGTGTGCGTGTGAGATATTTGTTGTTGTATTCTTGGTTCTTTCGGTTAAAGTCACCACGTAGAAGGCAAACAATAAAATTATAAAAATATTAAACGATAAAATTCTCTCGACGTTTCGACTGCAACACAAGCAAATCATCATCAGGTGTGAAAACCACAGCAAGAAACGAATTTCCCTTCTTGCTGTGGTTTTCACACCTGATGATGAAGAAGAAAATTTTCTTGCTGTGGTTTTCACACCTGGTGACGATTGCTTGTGTTGCAGTCGAAACGTCGCGATAATTTTTTTGTTTTATATTTTTATTATTTTATTGGTCCCCTTCTACGTGGTGGTGACTTTACCGAAAGAACCAAGAATACGAATCCCTGCAGTCACGAAAAGCTTTAAATCAAAAAATGTTTGTTGTTGTTTGTCGTTATCAGGAGGCAGACTTGGTGACCACCCACGAGTTCGGGCACAACTTTGGGGCGGAGCACGACCCCGACAGCGCGGAGTGCTCCGCCCCGGACGAAGCCGGAGGGAAGTTCGTCATGTATCCCTACGCCGTGAGCGGGGACCACGAGAACAACAAGGTGGTGTTGGCCTTGACCCCCCACCCCGGCCTTGACCCCCATCATCGTCGCCACCGTCATCACCATCGTCGCCACCGTCATCATCATCACCGCCATCGTCATCGGCCAACTCCACGAGCCCGTACGCGGAGGTGCCCATCGCTAAACCATCGCCACCATCGTCACCACCATTGACGTCACTGCCACCGCCACCATCATCACTGTCACCACAACCACCACCTTCATTGCCATGTTTCCCATCTCCCATCCCACCACCTTGAACTCCCCCCCCCCCCCCCCCCCGCACCGCCCCCACCATTCTATCATGGTCAGTCTGCCGGCGTGCGACGGTAGGCCGCCCCTTCTTGCCGTGGTCGAAGCAACCGAGCGTGCTTAGATTGAGCCGCGATGAACGAAACGGCCCTGCAGACCTGACCAGGGCTGCAGACCCAGCAGACACACGCCTGCTGCTCCAACGCTGCCCTGCTGCTGATGATGATTATGATGTTGCGGCTGATGCTGCTTCTGCTGCTGATATTGCTCCTGCTGCTGCTGGTGATGATGATGCTGCTGCTGCTGCTGCTACTGCTGCTGTTGATGATGATGCTGCTGCTACTGCTGTTGCTGCTGCTACTAATACTGCTGCTCCTGCTGATGCCGATGCTGCTGCTGCTGCCGCCGCTGCGCCTGCAGATGTTCTCCAACTGCAGCAAGCGCGCCATCCACAAGACGCTGGAGGCGAAGGCGTCGCGCTGCTTCTTCCCGCGCACGGTGAAGCTGTGCGGGAACTCTCGCGTGGAGGAGGGCGAGCAGTGTGACGCGGGCCCCGCCTTTGCGCACATTGACGCCTGCTGCACCGACACCTGCAAGCTGCGCCCGGGGAAGTTGTGCAGGTGGGGCGTCGCCGCGCTCGCCCGCCCGCCCGCTCTCGCACTCGGTCGCTCGCTCGCTCGCTCGCTCTCCCCGCGCGCTCCCTCACGCGCTCGCTCGCTCGCTCGTACGTTCACAAACCCGCACACTCGCACACTCGCTCGCCTGCACGCTCACTCACTCACTCACGCACTCACTCGCGCACTCCTACATTCGTTCACTCGCTCGCCCGTTCACTCGCTCACTCTGGTACTCGTTTAGTTATTCTTTGTTTTGTTCGGTAAAGTCACGTAGAAATAATAAATTAACATGATAGTGTACGACGTTTCGATTGCAACACAAGCAATCATCATCGGGTACAGAAGAGCTAAATTGACGAGAGAGAGGAGACACATGACCGCGGATATATATACAGACACAGATACAACAGGGGACACAGAGAGAGAGAGAAACGTGGGAGCACACAAAATCAAACACGTTTTAGCAAGATTTGGAAACCATATAACGCAACACAGACGGTCGGTCAAAACACAATTAACGCAAGGTCAGGTTGATTACGTTATTTCAAAGATTGCTAAATTGTAAGTTTAGTGTGAAATTTAAAATCTGAAAAATATGGGTCTTGACCACTGGATGCGCCGAGCCTTAGCCCGGTCTTCGGTCTTCGTGTAGGGAGAGAACTCCCCACGCTCTGCGTGGTCACCCTTCTTATACCCGTTTGTGGCCAGGTGTAACCAATCACACATTCCCACGTGGAACTGTCTGATTGGTTCTTACCAAACTGTGGCTGCGATCCACTTCACCTCGTCTGACCCCAACCGTTATGTACACAGAGGTAACGCTGCCCTGCCCCTTTGATACCCAGTGGCAATGCAGGTTACCGAACAGTGAGTAGTTAACACATCTACACTCGCGCGCTCACTAACTCGCTCACCCATGCGCTGACCCACACGCTCGCACACTCACCTCACTCGTGCACTCACTCACTCGCACACTCACTCGTGCACTTACTCACTCGCGCACTCACTCACTCGCACACTCACTCGCACACTCACTCACTCGCACACTCACTCACTCGCACACTCACTCGCACACTCACTCACTCGCACACTCACTCGCACACTCACTCACTCGCACACTCACTCGCACGCTCACTCACTCACTCACTCGCACACTCACTCACTCGCACACTCACTCACACACTCACTCGCGCACTCACTCACTCGCACACTCACTCGCACACTCACTCACTCGCACACTCACTCGCACACTCACTCACTCGCACACTCACTCGCAAACTCACTCACTCGCACACTCACTCACTCGCGCACTCACTCGCACACTCACTCGCGCACTCACTCGCACACTCACTCGCACACTCGCTCGCACACTCACTCGCGCACTCACTCGCGCACTCACTCACTCGCACACTCACTCGCGCACTCACTCACTCGCACACTCACTCGCGCACTCACTCGCACACTCGCTCACTCGCACACTCACTCGCGCAGTCACTCGTGCACTCCCTCATTCGTACGTCCGCAAACATGATCACTCGTTCACTCGCACACTCCCAACCATTCGCTCGCACGTTCATAGGCTCGCACGCTCATGGCTTGTTCCACGGTACAAATGCTGTCTTTCTCAATCGCTTGTTAATGGTAGTTGTGTATATATATTAAAAACACAACATCTTGAGGCTCTATTAAGTAATTGGTGTGCCCAGTGTGAAACTCCCCTCCCTCCCACCCCCTCGCATGCCTCTATCTTTGTGCATCCCCACGATTCGCTGCTGTTTTCCATGTGCCCCCCACCCCCACCCGTGACGCCCCCCCCCCTCCGTGCTCAGTGACCGTAACTCCCCGTGCTGCCGGAACTGCACGTACGAGCAAGCGGGCAAGCTGTGCCAGGAACCCATCCCCTCCATCTGCCGCAGCGCCTCCTTCTGCACAGGTTCGCACTGCACCGCACCGCAAGCACCGCACCGCACAGCACCGCACCGCTCACCACAGGCCACAGTACCGACCGCACACGCGCACAGCACCGCACCGCACCACACCCACCACACCCACCACACCCACCACATCCACTACACCCACTACACCCACCGCACCACACCACACCCACCACACCCACCACACCCACCACACCCACCACATCCACTACACCCACTACACCCACCGCACCCACCACACCCACCACACCCACTACACCCACCGCACCACACCCACCACACCCACCACACCCACCACACCCACCACATCCACTACACCCACTACACCCACCGCTCGCACCACACCCACCACACCCACCACACCCACCACACCCACCACACCCACTACACCCACTACACCCACCGCACCACACCCACCACACCCACCACACCCACCACACCCACCACACCCACCACACCCACCACACCCACCACACCACACCTACCACACCCACCACACCCACCACACCCACCACACCCACCACACCCACCACACCCACCACACCCACCACACCACACCCACCACACCTACCACACCCACCACACCCACCACACCCACCACACCCACCACACCCACCACACCACACCCACCACACCACACCCACCACACACCACCACACCCACCACACCCACCACACCACCCACACACACCCACCACCCACACACCCACCACACCCACCACACCCACCACACCCCCACACCTACCACACCCACCACACCACCCACCCACCACACCCACCACACCCACCACACCCACCACACCACACCCACCACACCCACCACACCCACCACACCCACCACACACCCACCACCCCCCACACCACACCCACCACACACCCACCACACCCACCACACCCACCACACCACACCCACCACACCCACCACACCCACCACACCCACCACACCCACCACACCCACCACACCCACCCACCACCCCACCACACCTACCACACCCACCACACCCACCACACCCACCACACCCCCACCCACACCCACCCCACACCACCACCCCACCACACCCCCACACCCACCACACCCACCACACCCACCACACCACACCCACCCACACCCACACCCACCACACCCACCACACCCACCACACCTACCACACCCACCACACCCACCACACCCACCACACCCACCACACCCACCACACCACACCCACCACACCCACCACACCCACCACACCCACCACACCCACCACACCCACCACACCACACCCACCACACCCACCACACCCACCACACCCACCACACCCACCACACCGCACCCACCGCACCCACCACACCCACCACACCGCACCACACCCACCACACCCACCACACCCACCACACCCACCACACCCACCACACCACACCCACCACACCCACCACACCACACCCACCACACCCACCACACCCACCACACCCACCACACCCAGCACACCCACCACACCCACCACACCGCACCACACCCACCACACCCACCACACACACCACACCCACCACACCGCACCACACCCACCACACCCACCACACCCACCACACACACCACACCCACCACACCCCACCACACCCACCCCCGCCTCCACCCCCACCACACCCACCACACGAACGACACCCACCCCACCACACCCACCACAACCACCACACCCACCACACCCACCACACCCACCACACCACACCCACCACACCCACCACACCCACCACACCACACCCACCACACCCACCACACCCACCACACCCACCACACCCACCACACCACACCCACCACACCCACCACACCCACCACACCACACCCACCACACCCACCGCACCCACCACACCACACCCACCGCACCCACCACACCCACCACACCGCACCACACCCACCACACCCACCACACCCACCACACCCACCACACCCACCACACCCACCACACCACACCCACCACACCCACCACACCACACCCACCACACCCACCACACCCACCACACCCACCACACCCACCACACCCACCACACCGCACCACACCCACCACACCCACCACACACACCACACACACCACACCACCACACCGCACCACACCCACCACCCCACCACACCCACCACACCCACCACACCACACCCACCACACCTACCACACCCACCACACCCACCACACCCACCACACCCACCACATCCACCACACCCACCGCACCACACCCACCACACCCACCACACCCATCACACCCACCACACCCACCACACCCACCACACCCCCACACACCCACCACACCCACCACACCCACCACACCACACCCACCACACCCACCACACCCACCACACCCACCACATCCACCACACCACACCCACCACACCCACCACACCACCACCCACCCACCACATCCACCACACCACACCCACCACACCACCACACCCACTACACCCACCACACCAACCACACCACACCCACCACACCACACCCACCACACCCACCACACCACCACACCCACACACCCCCACACCACCACACCCACCACACACCACACCACCACCCACCGCACCACACCCACCACCCCACCACACCCACCACACCCACCACACCCACCACACCCATCACACCCATCACACCCACCACACCCACCACACCCACCACACCACCACACCCACCACACACACCCACCACACCCACCACCCCCCACACCCACCACATCCACCACACCACACCCACCACACCCACCACACCCACCACACCCACCACATCCACCACACCACACCCACCACACCCACCACACCCACTACACCCACCACACCCACCACACCACACCCACCACACCACACCCACCACACCCACCACACCACCACACCCACCACACCCACCACACACACCCCCACCACACCCACCACACCCACCACACCCACCACACCCCCACACCCACCCACCGCACCACACCCCCCACCCACCACACCCACCACACCCCCACACCCACCACACCCACCACATCCACTACACCCACTACACCCACCCACCACACCACCACCACACCCACCACACCCACCACACCCACACCACCCACCACACACCACACCCACCACACCCACCACACACCACCCACCACACCCACCACACCACCACCCCACCACACCCACCACATCCACTACACCCACTACACCCACCGCACCACACCCACCACACCCACCACACCCACCACACCTACCACACCTACCACACCCACCACACCCACCACACCCACCACACCTACCACATCCACCACACCCACCACACCCACACCCACCGCACCACACCCACCACACCCACCACACCCCCACACCCACCACACCCACCACACCCACCACACCCACCACACCCACCACACCACACCCACCACACCTACCACACCCACCACACCCCCACACCCACCACACCCACCACACCCACCACACCCACCACACCCACCGCACCACACCCACCGCACCCACCCACCCCCACACCCACCACACCCACCACATCCACTACACCCACTACACCCACCGCACCACACCCACCACACCTACCACACCACACCACACACCCACCACACCCACCACACCCACCACACCACACCCACCACACCACCACACCACCACCACCCACCACACCCACCACACCCACCACACCCACCACATCCACTACACCCACTACACCCACCGCACCACACCCACCACACCCACCACACCACCACACCTACCACACCTACCACACCCACCACACCCACCACACCCACCACACCTACCACATCCACCACACCCACCACACCCACACCCACCACACCCACCACACCCACCACACCCACCACACCCACCACACCCACCACACCCACCACACCCACCACACCCACCACACCCACCACACCCACCACACCCACCACACCCACCACACCCACCACACCCACCACACCCACCACACCCACCACACCACACCCACCACACCCACCACACCCACCACACCCCCCCCACCACACCCACCACCCCCCCCACACCCCCCACACCCCCCCCACCGACCACACCTACCACACCCACCACACCCACCACACCCACCACACCTACCACATCCACCACACCCACCACACCCACACCCACCGCACCACACCCACCACACCCACCACACCCACCACACCCACCACACCCACCACACCCACCACACCCACCACACCACACCCACCACACCCACCACGCTGCAGGCAAGTGCTCTCCAGTCGCCTGCGTGACAAGTGGACAAAGTAAAATTTTGATTGAAAGCTTTCGTGACTGCAGTAATTCATATTCTTAGTTCTTTCGGTAAAGTCACGTTGAAGGGAAACAACTAAATAATGAAATATATATAAAACAATAAAAAAATAATAACAAAAACGTGACTTTACCGAAAGAACTAAGAATAAGTGGACGAAGGTTTTGCCCAATCACTGCCCGGCTGGCTCAACAAAACTAATTAACATAATCGATGCTCATCGCTCACACCACTTGCCCCAAAAGTAAACTCAACTATTTCTTATTTTACCAGGCAAGGGGCCGTCCATAAATGACGTCACACACTTGGGGGGGGGGGGGGTTAGACATTCGTGACGATGTATGACGAGGGGGGGGTGGGGTTTGAGAAATGTGACGTCACATCAAAACGCGCAACTTTAAATAAATACAGACAAACACGTTCTGCTTAATTAAATAGACTTTTTAAATAAACGTTTTCTCCTACAACATCAGAGTGCAGCGCCACATTAAATACGCACTACAAGGACAATCGTTTAAAGCGATTTGATGCATGTATAAAAAAAAATGGAGTGGGGGGGGCAGAGCTTTGTGACGTCATATTTGAGGGGGGGTCTGACTTTTTGTGACGCCGTGTGACGAAGGGGGGGGATCAAAAATCGTCCAAAATCGTCCAAAATCGCGTGACGTCATTTATGGACGGCCCCTAAGGCCCTCTGAGCTACGTACTGCACTTTTCCAGAAGCGACCTGCCCACAAATGAGTAGCTCAATGAAGTGGCTTATCACGTGGGAGTGTACCGGCAGCCAAATTGATCTAAACGCATTTAGATTCATAAATGTGTAGAGGGAAAAACACAAACCACGGTGAGAGAGGCAAGCTCCAAATGTACGGCAGAAGGCGTCGGGGTCGAGATCGAACCCACGACCTCCTGGCAACACCAGGCGAGGGAGATAACATCTCGTAGCCACCGCGGTTCCCCAAAAGTCGAACCCACGACCTCCTGGCACACCTGGCCAGGGAGACACTCGACATCTGTGACAAAGAGCTTCGTAAAATTTTGATTTAAAGCTTTCGTGACTGCAGTAATTCATGTTCTTAGTTCTTTCGGTAAAGTCACGTTGAAGGGAAACAACAAAATAATAAAAAAATATATAAAACAATAAAAGAAAGAACTAAGAATTAAAGAGCTTCGTAGGTTATTGGGATCGCTCCAACTCCAGTCTAAACAAAGACGTTGATTCTGATAGCTCACCGGGACCAGCCACGGCGACCCATGGCTCGCCAATTATGCCGTGGCTCAAAAACAAACAACAACAACAACAACAACAACAAACCCCCCCCCCTCCTAATATTTTGAGTCCCCCGCAGCGCGTGCTGTGGCTGACGCGGGAGAGGGGGCGGATGGCCCCCCCGTCTCTGTGTCGTACGCAGGCGTGAGCAGCGAGTGCCCCCCGGCGGGTCCCGCCGACGACAACTCGACGTGCGTGGACTCGGGCAAGTGCGACGGGGGCCAATGCAAGCCGTTCTGCGAGACCGTGGGCCTGCAGTCCTGCGCCTGCAAGGGTGAGGGAGGCGCCTGGCGTCGTCGGTGGCGGTGTCATCGTCATCGTCGTCGTCATCGTCATCGTCGTCGTAATAATCAGTCATCGTCGATGACGGTATCATCATTTTGTCATTATCAGCGTGATAGATGACAATGTCAGCAGCGTCATCATTGGTCGTTATCATCATAGATTACAATGTCAGTAGCGTCATCATCATCATCATCGATGAGAATTTCACTATCGTCATCATTGGCCATCATCATCGATGGCGATTTCACTATCGTCATCATTGGCCATCATCATCGATGACAATTTCACTATCATCATCATCGATGACAATTTCACTATCGTCATCATTGGCCATCATCATCATCGATGACAATTTCACTATCGTCATCATTGGCCATCATCATCATCGATGACAATTTCACTATCGTCATCATTGGCCATCATCATCATCGATGACAATTTCACTATCGTCATCATTGGCCATCATCATCGATGACAATTTCACTATCGTCATCATTGGCCATCATCATCGATGGCGATTTCACTATCGTCATTATTGGCCATCATCATCGATGACAATTTCACTATCATCATCATCGATGACAATTTCACTATCGTCATCATTGGCCATCATCATCATCGATGACAATTTCACTATCGTCATCATTGGCCATCATCATCATCGATGACAATTTCACTATCGTCATCATTGGCCATCATCATCATCGATGACAATTTCACTATCGTCATCATTGGCCATCATCATCGATGACAATTTCACTATCGTCATCATTGGCCATCATCATCGATGACAATTTCACTATCGTCATCATTGGCCATCATCATCAATGACAATTTCACTATCGTCATCATTGGCCATCATCATCGATGACAATTTCACTATCGTCATCATTGGCCATCATCATCGATGACAATTTCACTATCGTCATCATTGGCCATCATCATCGATGACAATTTCACTATCGTCATCATTGGCCATCATCATCGATGACAATTTCACTATCGTCATCATTGGCCATCATCATCGATGACGATTTCACTATCGTCATCATTGGCCATCATCATCGATGACAATTTCACTATCGTCATCATTGGCCATCATCATCGATGACAATTTCACTATCGTCATCATTGGCCATCATCATCGATGACGATTTCACTATCGTCATCATTGGCCATCATCATCGATGACAATTTCACTATCGTCATCATTGGCCATCATCATCGATGACAATTTCACTATCGTCATCATTGGCCATCATCATCGATGACAATTTCACTATCGTCATCATTGGCCATCATCATCGATGACGATTTCACTATCGTCATCATTGGCCATCATCATCGATGACGATTTCACTATCGTCATCATTGGCCATCATCATCGATGACGATTTCACTATCGTCATCATTGGCCATCATCATCGATGACTGCCATTATCATCATCATTGATGGCGATGTCGTTTTTAAAAGTTTCATCATCAGCATCATCAGCAGTGCTATCATCATCATCGTCATTGGTCATTGTCATCATCGCCGTCTTTGTGATCATCAGTGTTATTGTCATTATCATCGATGACGTCACGAGAATTATCTTTTATGGCAACATTTAGTGACGACGTCACTAAATAATGACGTCATCACGATCGTCGTCGACAATGTAATTGACATCATCATCAGTGTCGGCGTCATCATCGGCCCCCTACTGGCAGTCAATTGCCACTCCAGCAGAGCACGAGCCTGTCAGTGTGGGGCCACGATGATGATGACGATGATGATGACGATGACGATGACGACGATGATGACGATGACGACGGCAATGGGAAGGTTGATGTGAGATGAAGGCAAATCCTGACATCCTGCAGTCGGTATCATCTGTGTCACCATTGTCACACGGTGTGTCCACTCAGCCCCTGGGTCCCCATGAGCCTGCTTCCCCTCTACCCCCTCCTACCCCCGTGACCCCTCCTACCCCCGTGACCCCTCCTACCCCCTCCTACCCCCGTGACCCCTCCTACCCCCGTGACCCCTCTTCCCCCTCCTACCCCCGTGACCGCTCCTACCCCCTCCTACCCCCTCCTACCCCCTCCTACCCCCTCCTACCCCCGTGACCCCTCCTACCCCCGTGACCCCTCCTACCCCCGTGACCCCTCCTACCCCCGTGACCCCTCTTCCCCCTCCTACCCCCGCGTCCCCTCCTACCCCCACGTCCCATGACCCCCGTCCTCTCCCCCCCCCCCCCCCCCGCCCGCCTCCCGTAGAGGTGGACCTGGCGTGCTCCGTGTGCTGCCGCGTCACTCCGGACGGGCCGTGCGTGCTCTACGAGCAGGACGGAGGCCGCAAGCGTCTCCGCAAGGGCAAGACCTGCTCCGTGGGATTCTGCGATGGCAACGTGCGTACACACACACGCACGCACGCACGCACGCATATCCGGCTACCTCCGTCTCCCCCCGGGGGGATGTTTACACCGCTCCGGACACTCACTGTGTATGGCTTTGCTGACACACGTTTTTTGGCGATGTCGAGAACACTTCGGCTGCGGTGGTGGTGTTGTTAACATTGTGGTGGTGTGGCTAACACTGTGGCCGTGGCGGTGCTGGTGGTGGTGCTGGTTGTGGGTGTTGCGGTGCAGGGAAAGTGTGAGAAGACCGTGCAGGATCCCATCGAGAGGTTCTGGGTCTTCATCGACAAACTCGACATCAACAGCTTCCGTGAGTGCGGCAGTGTGCGGCAGTGCGCGTGCGTGCGTGTGTGCTTGCTTGTGTGCGTGCGCGCGTTTGGGGAGCGGTGGTGCAGCGGTTAGCGCACTGCGCTACGACCCCGGTGACCCGAGTTCGTTTCGCGCTAGAGGCCAACGCCGGTGACGGTTATCTGAACCAGTCCTGGGCCTCCGCTAGGTCGACTCGGCGCCAGATGAGTACCACGCCTTGTCGTGTGCCGTGCCGGTCTTCACAGGCGCTGCTCACTAACAGCACTTGCCCCAGTAGTCCGTTAAGGCTACACGGGGAATCTTTGTCTTCATTTCTGCGCCCGCGTGTGGCCACCCACCTCCCCCTCGTGTGCCGTGCCGGCTTTCACAGGGGGCCTCGGTTAAAAGCACTCGCCCCCGAGAGTCCGTTAAGGCTGCACGGGGGATCTTTGTCGTTGTGTAGGCAAGTTCCTGGCGGACAACATCGTGGGCTCCGTGCTCGTGTTCTCCCTCATCTGCTGGGTTCCACTCAGCATCCTCGTGCACTGCGTGGTACGATGCTCACTCACTTTCACTCGCTCACGCTCGCTCACGCTCGCTCGCTCGCTCGCCCTCGCTCACCCTTACTCTCACGTTCACCCTGACTCTCACGCTCGCCCTCAGTCACTCGCTCTTACACACTCGCTCATACGCAAGCATGTGTTCCCATGCTCACAGATGTGTATGTGTGGTAATGTGAATGTGTGTGTGTGGGTGCGCGCGTGTGCACGTGTGCTTGGGGAGCTAAGAACACTTGCCCCAATAGCCTGTTAAGGCTATACGAGGGACCTTTGTCTTTGCTTTGGCAGGGGGTAGTACAAAGGTTAGCACGTTGTGCTCCGAACCCGGCCACCCGAGTTCGATTCCTGCTCACGACCAGCACCAGTGACGATTGTCTGAACCGGTCCTGAACCTTTCATAGGTTGACTCAGCCTCAAACGAGTACCTAGTGCAATGCGTAAAGACCGCCACTGGGGAGACAAAGACGGCCGGGCGTGGCGCTGGCCACTTCACCCCCTCGGTGTGCCGTTTCGGCCTTCACAGGTGCTGCTCGCTAACAGCACTTGCCCCCTTACAGTCTGTTAAGGCTACACGGAGGATCTTTGTCTGTTATTTTGATTATTTCGATTAATTTTGCCGCTATAAATCTACACACAATAAGCTTTCATTTGTGGCCAGGTCGCATGTGAAAAATTAAGCCAATCGCTCAGTGGGGCTTTACGTAGTAAGATCAAAAATAGTTTAGTTTCATTTATATATTTTTTCTGACCCCGTGCCCCTACTGGGGACATCTGTAAAAAAAAAATAACTTGACACGTAAAATTTTCGTGACTGCAGGAATTCGTCTCCCTGGTTCTTTCGGTAAAATCTATATTACGATCGCAACGCAAGCGGGTCTTCTTCTTTTCTCTCCACCCGGAGAAGACCGCTTGTGTTGCGATCGAAACGTCGTGTGTTTTTTGCTTTTAATTTTAGATGTTTTGTTTTCCATCTACGTGACTTTACCGAAAGAACCAAGAATATAATAACTGTCCAGCTCATCATATTCCTCCTGCAGTGATTATTGCGATTATCTAAACCGGTCCTGGGGCCTCCTCCGGGGTCGACTCAGCCTCAAATGGGTACCTGGTGCGATGCGTAAACATTGCCACTGGGGAGACGAAGGCGGTGGGGCGTGATGCTGGCCATCCCGCCCCCTCGCGCGCCGTGCCCATTTTCATCGTCGCTACTCGGTAACAGCACTTGGCCTATGAGTTTATTAACGCTACACGGGGGATCTTTTTGTGCTTGCTTGTGTGCGTGTGTGCGTGCGTGTGTGCGTGTGTGCGTGTGTGCACCCATCCAGGACAAGAAACTCGACCGCCAGTTTGAGGAAAGCAAGGTCATGCACTTCCTGCCGGCGAGCGTGAGTCACCCGCAGCATCACCGCGTGTGTCGGCCAGAAGCATGGAAATGCCCAGACAATGTCCATGTCCTCTCATCAGTGGGTTCACAATGTCCATGTCTCTCTCAGTGGGTTCACAATGTCCATGTCCTCTCATCAGTGGGTTCACAATGTCCATGTCTCTCTCAGTGGGTTCACAATGTCCATGTCTCTCATCAGTAGGTTCACAATGTCCATGTCCTCTCATCAGTGGGTTCACAATGTCCATGTCTCTCTCAGTGGGTTCACAATGTCCATGTCTCTCATCAGTAGGTTCACAATGTCCATGTTTCTCATCAGTGGGTTCACAATGTACATGTCTCTCATCAGTGGGTTCACAATGTCCATGTCTCTCTCAGTAGGTTCACAATGTCCATGTCTCTCTCAGTAGGTTCACAATGTCCATGTCTCTCATCAGTAGGTTCACAATGTCCATGGCTCTCTCAGTGGGTTCACAATGTCCATGTCTCTCATCAGTGGGTTCACAATGTCCATGTCTCTCATCAGTGGGTTCACAATGTCCATGTCTCTCATCAGTGGGTTCACAATGTCCATGTCTCTCATCAGTAGGTTTACAATGTCCATGTCTCTCTCAGTGGGTTCACAATGTCCATGTCTCTCATCAGTGGGTTCACAATGTCCATGTCCTCTCATCAGTGGGTTCACAATGTCCATGTCTCTCTCAGTGGGTTCACAATGTCCATGTCTCTCATCAGTAGGTTCACAATGTCCATGTTTCTCATCAGTGGGTTCACAATGTACATGTCTCTCATCAGTGGGTTCACAATGTCCATGTCTCTCTCAGTAGGTTCACAATGTCCATGTCTCTCTCAGTAGGTTCACAATGTCCATGTCTCTCATCAGTAGGTTCACAATGTCCATGGCTCTCTCAGTGGGTTCACAATGTCCATGTCTCTCATCAGTGGGTTCACAATGTCCATGTCTCTCATCAGTGGGTTCACAATGTCCATGTCTCTCATCAGTGGGTTCACAATGTCCATGTCTCTCATCAGTAGGTTTACAATGTCCATGTCTCTCTCAGTGGGTTCACAATGTCCATGTCTCTCATCAGTGGGTTCACAATGTCCATGTCTCTCATCAGTGGGTTCACAATGTCCATGTCTCTCATCAGTGGGTTCACAATGTCCATGTCTCTCTCAGTAGGTTCACAATGTCCATGTCTCTCATCAGTGGGTTCACAATGTCCATGTCTCTCATCAGTGGGTTCACAATGTCCATGTCTCTCTCAGTGGGTTCACAATGTCCATGTCTCTCTCAGTAGGTTCACAATGTCCATGTCTCTCATCAGTAGGTTCACAATGTCCATGTCTCTCTCAGTAGGTTCACAATGTCCATGTCTCTCATCAGTGGGTTCACAATGTCCATGTCTCTCTCAGTGGGTTCACAATGTCCATGTCTCTCTCAGTAGGTTCACAATGTCCATGTCTCTCTCAGTAGGTTCACAATGTCCATGTCTCTCTCAGTGGGTTCACAATGTCCATGTCTCTCTCAGTAGGTTCACAATGTCCATGTCTCTCATCAGTGGGTTCACAATGTCCATGTCTCTCATCAGTAGGTTCACAATGTCCATGTCTCTCTCAGTGGGTTCACAATGTCCATGTCTCTCTCAGTAGGTTCACAATGTCCATGTCTCTCATCAGTGGGTTCACAATGTCCATGTCTCTCATCAGTAGGTTCACAATGTCCATGTCTCTCTCAGTAGGTTCACAATGTCCATGTCTCTCATCAGTAGGTTCACAGTGTCCATGTCTCTCTCATCAGTAGGTTCACAATGTCCATGTCTCTCATCAGTGGGTTCACAATGTCCATGTCTCTCATCAGTGGGTTCACAATGTCCATGTCTCTCTCAGTGGGCTCACAATTGAGCGGGAGCGATGCTCGCAACAATGAGTGTAGCCGCTGGCGGATGACAGGATGACATTCAGCAAGGTGGCCCAGTGGGGAGCACAGGTGGTGCGTCTGCCAGTCATCTCAGTCAGTCAACCCATGGCACCTGCCGGGCCTGTCCCTTGACCTCTTCTGCCAGCAGAGAGCCATCAACACTTCTCTTCTGATTAGCACGGTTGGCTACGTACAATGCGAAACAAGTTAAAAATTCGGCTTTTGGCTAGCCATCGAACATCACATCGCGCGCTTTCAGATGCCGTCTGGAATGCTCTTCCTTCCGATATTAGAAAGCCACTAGAGCTATGCACTTTTAAGTATAGATTGAAAGCTCATTTCTTTAAAACTTCTTTCTGCGTTTAGTGTGGTTGTCCTTCCCCCGCACCTCCGATTAGCACGGTTGGCTACGTACGGCGCAAAAGAAGTTCACCATACACACACTCTGCCCATAGACTCAACACTGCACCGCTGATTAGCACTTCTTGGCCACGTACAGCGCGAAAGAAGTTCAACATACACACAAACGCTGGCGGATGGCACAAATGCAATGCGAAGCTGCGTTTAAAGCACGGGGCATCCGATGATGGTCCGACTTAATCAGAGGTGTCACCGTGGCATCTGCGACAGCTCTCCTAGCGATGGAGAGCCCAGTTCGAGGAAGACCGCTACGGGCTGTCACTCCGCAGACGCGTTCCACCCCCCCTCCCCCCGTCTTGATGCGCAAATCTCCTGCGGCAGATTTTGCTCTCACTTCGGTTGGCGGTCGACATTCCGAGTGGACTGCTACCCCCCTCCCCCCCCTCTTCGTGATCCGTGGATCAAACAAATTACTCGAGACGCCGGTGTGTTGCGGCGAAAGCAACGTATGGATACCTGTTAAGGGGCCGTCCATAAATGACGTCACGTACCTCGGGGGGAGGGGGGGGGTGGGGTCAGACACTTGTGACGATGTGTGACGAGGTGGGGGGGTTTGAGAAATGTGACGTCACATCAAAATGCGCTACTTGAAATAAATATAGAATTGTTATAACAATTGTGTTATAACAACACTCCTACAACGTCAGAGTGCAGTGCCACATTAAATACGCACTACAAATGACAATAGTTGAAAGCGATTTGAAGCGTGTTTTATTTTCATAATGGAAATATGGTTTTGTGGGGGGGGGGGGGGCGTGGCAGAGTTTTGTGACGTCATATTTGACGGGGGGGAGGTCTGACTTTTTGTGACGTCGTGTGACGAGGGGGGGGGGGGGTTAAATATCACGTGACGTCATTTATGGACGGCCCCTAACCCCTTTTCAGTGCCTACTCGATTACAGACCAATTCGGACCTTATTTGTCACGTAAATCTCAACGTCCACCCTACAGCTTCCATCGCTAGGGATAAACACAATGCAAGGGACGCATAAAGAATGTCCGCATATGCAACGGCCGTACGCCGTATGGGCCTGAGCGTTACATCTCCCTGTGCAGGAGTGCAGGCGAAAGCGTTGTGGGTTGACGCGCTATGTTTATGCAAGAGGTCACACGTTGCGGGCAATGGGCCCTTTGGCTGACTGCGTTGCCAGTGCAATCACCGCTTGAGCATCATCGGCACCAGCACCACCGGTGTGACGTTGATGTTGTTGTCGGGTTAGTCCGACGTTTTTGCCGGTCGTCACATACAGGCATCGTCAGGCTGTGGGCCCGCGTTGGGTGGAGGAGGGAGTAACGACCCACTTTTTAGAATTATTATTATTATTATTAGGGAATCGTAATATTGGTTCCCGATAGTCTGCGTGTGTTATGAAATTATTATAACATCGATACGTTCTAAACTACAAACTTTTGAACTATTTTTTTTTATTTTTACTGGGCAAGGGCCCCACTGAGCTGCATAGCTCTATTGCACAAGTGACCTGGCCTCAACTGGTAGCTCAAGGAAGTGGCTGATCACGTGGAAGTTTACAGCAGCCACTTTCTCTAAACGCGTGATGTCGATTCTGAATGTGAAGGGAGGAAATACCGGAGGACCTGGAGAAAAATCCTCATGATCACAGGGAGGGTGAACATGCGAATTCCTAATATGCAACAGGCATCAGGGTCGGTATCGAACCCGCGACCTCCTGCACACCCGTGTTGAACTTCTTTCGCACCGTACGTCGGCAACCATGCCAACGGGACGTGCTGGGGAAGGACAGGAAACTAAACATGTTAAGCAGTTATAAAGACAGACGGCCGGGAGTTTACAGCTCGCCACCGTACGTGCCCGTGCGTGCGAGCGTGCGCGCGCGTGCGTGTACGCGTGTGTGTGTGCATAGGTGCGTGTGTGTGTGCGTGCGTGTCCCCGTGATCAAGGGGTGGGGCGGCAGTGCAGTGGTTAATACGGCCCCCGACACCCGAGTTTGATTCCCGCTCACGGCCAACACCGGTGACGATTATCTTAACCGGTCCTGAGCCTCCCCCTAGGTCGACTCAGCCTCAAATGAGTACCTCTGTGCGGTGTGTAAAAACATCGTGGGGGGGGGGGGGGGGGTGGGGAGACAAAGGCGGCCGGGCGTGCTGCCGGCCACCCACCCCCTCTCGTGTGCCGTTCTGGCCGTCATAGAGCTCTGCTCGTCAACGGCACTTGCCCCGACAGACTCGTTCGGGGTACACGGAGTGAGGGCGGTGGTGACCTTTGTCTTTCGCGACCTTTGTCTTTCGCGACCTTTGTCTTTCGTGACCTTTGTCTTTCGCGACCTTTGTCTTTCGTGACCTTTGTCTTTCGCGACCTTTGTCTTTCGTGACCTTTGTCTTTCGCGACCTTTGTCTTTCGTGACCTTTGTCTTTCGCGACCTTTGTCTTTCGTGACCTTTGTCTTTCGCGACCTTTGTCTTTCGTGACCTTTGTCTTTCGTGACCTTTGTCTTTGGCGACCTTTGTCTTTCGTGACCTTTGTCTTTCGTGACCTTTGTCTTTCGCGACCTTTGTCTTTGGCGACCTTTGTCTTTCGTGACCTTTGTCTTTGGCGACCTTTGTCTTTCGTGACCTTTGTCTTTCGTGACCTTTGTCTTTCGTGACCTTTGTCTTTGGCGACCTTTGTCTTTCGTGACCTTTGTCTTTCGTGACCTTTGTCTTTCGCGACCTTTGTCTTTCGTGACCTTTGTCTTTCGCGACCTTTGTCTTTGGCGACCTTTGTCTTTGGCGACCTTTGTCTTTCGCGACCTTTGTCTTTCGTGACCTTTGTCTTTGGCGACCTTTGTCTTTCGCGACCTTTGTCTTTCGTGACCTTTGTCTTTGGCGACCTTTGTCTTTCGCGACCTTTGTCTTTCGTGACCTTTGTCTTTCGTGACCTTTGTTTTTTGTGACCTTTGTCTTTGGCGACCTTTGTCTTTCGCGACCTTTGTCTTTCGTGACCTTTGTCCTTGGCGACCTTTGTCTTTGGCGACCTTTGTCTTTGGCGACCTTTGTCTTTCGCGACCTTTGTCTTTTGTGACCTTTGTCTTTCGTGACCTTTGTCGTGACCTTTGTCTTTCGCGACCTTTGTCTTTCGCGACCTTTGTCTTTCGCGACCTTTGTCTTTCGCGACCTTTGTCTTTCGTGACCTTTGTCTTTCGTGACCTTTGTCTTTGGCGAGCTTTGTCTTTCGTGACCTTTGTCGTGACCTTTGTCTTTCGCGACCTTTGTCTTTCGCGACCTTTGTCTTTCGTGACCTTTGTCTTTCGTGACCTTTGTCTTTCGTGACCTTTGTCTTTGGCGACCTTTGTCTTTCGTGACCTTTGTCGTGACCTTTGTCTTTCGCGACCTTTGTCTTTGGCGACCTTTGTCTTTCGTGACCTTTGTCTTTGGCGACCTCCAGACCGCGGAGCTGAACAGCAGCGACTCGGCCCCTTTCCGCGTCGTCCGGCGAAACTGCATCCAGACCCCGCAGAGCCGCGCGCCGGGGGCCCCCTACTACGGCTACGGGGGGGGCGGCGCCCCCCACCACCCCCACGGCTACGGGGGGCCGCCCCCGCAGGCACGGCCCCCTCTGCAGCTGTCGCCCGCGGAGATGCAGACGATCCCCGAGGATCCCGGGGCGGAAGGGTCTCAGGGGTCTCAGACGGAGGGGACCCGCGCCCGCTCGTACGAGGACCTCACGGACGGTGGGGATCCCCGCGGGGGGTCCCGCGGGGGGGCCCACCGGGGGTCCCACGGGGGGGCCCACCGGGGGTCCCACGGGGGGGCCATGGTGGGCAGGTGTGATAGCAGCGACCGGGAGACTAAGTGCTGAGTGGGGGGGGTGACGAGCGCCCTGCTGGTAAACTCCCTGACTCACTACCAGCAGTACTCACTCACTACCAGCAGTACTGACTCACTCACTACAGTACTCACTCACTACCTACAGTACTCACTACAGTACTCACTACAGTACTCACTACCTACAGTACTCACTCTCTACCTACAGTACTCACTACCTACAGTACTCACTCTCTACCTACAGTACTCACTACCTACAGTACTCACTCACTACCAGCAGTACTCACTCACTACAGTACTCACTACCTACAGTACTCACTCTCTACAGTACTCACTCACTACAGTACTCACTCTCTACAGTACTCACTCACTACAGTACTCACTCTCTACAGTACTCACTCACTACAGTACTCACTCACTACCTACAGTACTCACTCTCTACAGTACTCACTACCTACAGTACTCACTACCTACAGTACTCACTACCTACAGTACTCACTCACTCTCTACAGTACTCACTACCTACAGTACTCACTCACTCTCTACAGTACTCACTCACTACAGTACTCACTCTCTACAGTACTCACTCACTACCTACAGTACTCACTCTCTACAGTACTCACTACAGTACTCACTCACTACCTACAGTACTCACTCACTACAGTACTCACTCACTCACTACCTACAGTACTCACTCACTCACTACCTACAGTACTCACTCACTCACTACCTACAGTACTCACTCACTCTCTACAGTACTCACTCTCTACAGTACTCACTCACTACCTACAGTACTCACTCACTACCTACCGTACTGACTCACTCTCTACAGTACTAACTCACTACAGTACTCACTCACTACAGTACTCACTACCTACAGTACTCACTACCTACAGTACTCACTCTCTACAGTACTCACTCACTACCTACAGTACTCACTACCTACAGTACTCACTCTCTACAGTACTCACTCACTACCTACAGTACTCACTACCTACAGTACTCACTACCTACAGTACTCACTCACTCTCTACAGTACTCACTCACTAGCTACAGTACTCACTCACTACAGTACTCACTCACTACAGTACTCACTCACTACCTACAGTACTCACTCACTCTCTACAGTACTCACTACCTACAGTACTCACTCACTCACTACAGTACTCACTACCTACAGTACTCACTCACTACCTACAGTACTCACTCTCTACAGTACTCACTCACTCTCTACAGTACTCACTTTCTACAGTACTGACTCACTACCTACAGTACTCACTCACTACCTACAGTACTCACTACCTACAGTACTCACTACCTACAGTACTCACTCACTAGCTACAGTACTCACTCACTACAGTACTGACTCACTCTCTACAATACTCACTCTCTACAGTACTCACTCACTACCTACAGTGCTCACTACCTACAGTACTCACTCACTACAGTACTCACTCTCTACAGTACTCACTCACTACCTACAGTACTCACTACCTACAGTACTCACTCACTACAGTACTCACTCACTACCTACAGTACTCACTACCTACAGTACTCACTACCTACCTACAGTACTCACTCACTACCTACAGTACTCACTACCTACAGTACTCACTCACTACCTACAGTACTCACTCACTACAGTACTCACTCACTACAGTACTCACTCACTACAGTACTCACTACCTACAGTACTCACTCACTACAGTACTCACTCACTACAGTACTCACTCACTACCTACAGTACTCACTCACTACCTACAGTACTCACTACCTACAGTACTCACTACCTACAGTACTCACTACCTACAGTACTCACTCACTACCTACAGTACTCACTCACTACCTACAGTACTCACTCACTACCTACAGTACTCACTCTCTACAGTACTCACTACCTACAGTACTCACTTCCTACAGTACTCACTCACTCTCTACAGTACTCACTCACTCTCTACAGTACTCACTACCTACAGTACTCACTCACTCTCTACAGTACTCACTCACTCTCTACAGTACTCACTCACTACCTACAGTACTCACTACCTACAGTACTCACTCACTCTCTACAGTACTCACTCACTCTCTACAGTACTCACTCTCTACAGTACTCACTCTCTACAGTACTCACTACCTACAGTACTCACTCACTCTCTACAGTACTCACTCACTCTCTACAGTACTCACTCACTACCTACAGTACTCACTACCTACAGTACTCACTCACTCTCTACAGTACTCACTACCTACAGTACTCACTACCTACAGTACTCACTACCTACAGTACTCACTCACTCCCTACAGTACTCACTACCTACAGTGCTAACTACCTACAGTACTCACTCACTACAGTACTCACTACCTACAGTACTCACTCACTACCTACAGTACTCACTACCTACAGTACTCACTACCTACAGTACTCACTCACTACCTACAGTACTCACTACCTACAGTACTCACTACCTACAGTACTCACTCACTACCTACAGTACTCACTACCTACAGTACTCACTCACTACAGTACTCATTACCTACAGTACTCACTACCTACAGTACTCACTCACTACCTACAGTACTCACTACCTACAGTACTCACTACCTACAGTACTCACTCACTACCTACAGTACTCACTACCTACAGTACTCACTACCTACAGTACTTACTCACTACCTACAGTACTCACTACCTACAGTACTCACTACCTACAGTACTCACTCACTACAGTACTCACTACCTACAGTGCTAACTACCTACAGTACTCACTACCTACAGTACTCACTACCTACAGTACTCACTACCTACAGTACTCACTCACTACAGTACTCACTACCTACAGTACTCACTACCTACAGTACTCACTCACTACAGTACTAACTACCTACAGTACTCACTACCTACAGTACTCACTACCTACAGTACTAACTACCTACAGTACTCACTACCTACAGTACTAACTACCTACAGTACTCACTCACTACCTACAGTACTCACTACCTACAGTACTCACTCACTACCTACAGTACTCACTACCTACAGTACTCACTACCTACAGTACTCACTACCTACAGTACATTCTCCGCAGCACTCGCTGTGGTGAGGTTCATGGGTCGCGTTCCTGCAGTGGATCTTTGAGTCCTGGGCTCAGCTACTGAAAGGAGTGTTTGAGTGATGAGCTCTGGAGAGTGTTTGAGTGATGAGTTCTGCAGAGAGAGAGAGAGTGTTTGAGTGATGAGTTCTGGAGAGTGTTTGAGTGATGAGTTCTGGAGAGTGTTTGAGTGATGAGTTCTGCAGAGAGAGAGAGTGTTTGAGTGATGAGTTCTGGAGAGTGTTTGAGTGATGAGTTCTGGTGCGAGTGAGTCTGGAGAGAGAGAGTGTTTGAGTCGTGAGTTCTGCAGAGAGAGAGAGTGTTTGAGTGATGAGTTCTTGAGAGTGTTTGAGTGATGAGTTCTGGTGTGAGTGAGTCTGGAGAGAGAGTGTTTGAGTGATGAGTTCTGCAGAGTGTTTGAGTGATGAGTTCTGCAGAGAGAGAGAGAGTGTTTGAGTGATGAGTTCTGGAGAGTGTTTGAGTGATGAGTTCTGGTGCGAGTGAGTCTGGAGAGAGTGTTTGAGTGATGAGTTCTGCAGAGAGAGAGTGTTTGAGTCATGAGTTCTGGAGAGTGTTTGAGTGATGAATTCTGGTGCGAGTGAGTCTGGAGAGAGTGTTTGAGTGATGAGTTCTGGAGAGTGTTTGAGTCATGAGTTCTGCAGAGAGAGAGTGTTTGAGTGATGAGTTCTGGAGAGTGTTTGAGTGATGAGTTCTGGAGAGTGTTTGAGTGATGAGTTCTGGTGCGAGTGAGTCTGGAAAGAGTGTTTGAGTGATGAGTTCTGCAGAGAGAGAGTGTTTGAGTGATGAGTTCTGGAGAGTGTTTGAGTGATGAGTTCTGGTGTGTGTGAGTCTGGAGAGAGAGAGTGTTTGAGTCGTGAGTTCTGCATAGAGAGAGTGTTTGAGTGATGAGTTCTGGAGAGTGTTTGAGTGATGAGTTCTGGTGCGAGTGAGTCTGGAGAGAGTGTTTGAGTGAGGAGTTCTGCAGAGAGAGAGAGTGTTTGAGTGATGAGTTCTGGAGAGTGTTTGAGTGATGAGTTCTGGTGCGAGTGAGTCTGGAGAGAGTGTTTGAGTGATGAGTTCTGCAGAGTGTTTGAGTGATGAGTTCTGGTGTGAGTGAGTCTGGAGAGTGTTTGAGTGATGAGTTCTGGTGTGTGTGAGTCTGGACAGAGAGAGTGTTTGAGTGATGAGTTCTGGAGAGTATTTGAGTGATGATTTCTGGAGAGAGTGAGTCTGGAGAGAGAGTGTTTGAGTTAGGAGTTCTGGAGAGTGTTTGAGTGATGATTTCTGGAGAGAGTGAGTCTGGAGAGAGTAAGTCTGGAGAGAGTAAGTCTAGAGAGAGTGAGTCTGGAGAGAGTGTTTTAGTTAGGAGTTCTGGAGAGTGTTTGAGTGATAATTTCTGGAGAGAATGAGTCTGGAGAGAGAGAGAGAGTGTTTGAGTGATGAGTTCTGGAGAGAGAGAGAGAGTTGTTTTTTTAAGTGTTGAGTTCTCGGCGATGCTGAATGATGATGATGATGCTATGTTACATTATCTTTGGACCAAAAAGTGCATTCTGCCGTTTCCCTCTTTATAAAAGCTACTACTACTGTACCACCACCCCCCTCTCCTCCTCATTCCTGACAATAAAGTCATCCACTCTTTACTCCATGCTGTGGGGCTCCAGTCGCCGGGTGGGTGTCAGAGGTCAGAGTGTCCCAGGCACTCCCCCGCGTGGACGAGTCGGCCGCTGACGGTCTCACGCAAACAAAACAACAACACGAGGGGCCGGCCATAAATGACGTCACGCACCTGGGGAGGAGGAGGAGGGGGGTGGGGGGCAGACATTTGTGACGATGTGTGACGAGGGGGGAGGGGTTTGAGAAATGTGACGTCACGTCAAAATGCGCAACTTTAAATGAATATAGACAACGCGTTCTACTTAATTAAATAGACTTTTTGATAAATGTTTTCTCCGACAACATCAGAGTGTAGCGCCACATTAAATACGCAACTACAATGACAAGTTTAAAGCGATTTGAAGCACGTTTTATTTTCAAAATGTAAATATGGTTTGGGGGGGGGGGCAGAGCTTTATGACGTCATATTTG